CACAGCTCCTGAATCTCAGAGGGAAGGCTGGAGTGGGTGGGTGGGACTAGCTCAGCCGGGGGCAAACTACGGCGCGCGGGCTGGATCCGGCCCGTTTGAAATGAATAAAACTAAAAATAAAAAAGACCGTATCCTTTTATGTAATGATGTTTACTTTAAATTTATATTAGTTCACACAAACACTCCATCCATGCTTTTGTTCCGGCCCTCCGGTCCAGTTTAAGAACCCATTGTGGCCCTCGAGTCAAAAAGTTTGCCCACCCCTGCTACACTGAGCCAAACCGGTCAGGGCTACATTTTTCTGTTTGTTATTTTGTTCTCCCCTCACACCACCCTCTTCTGGACAGCAGCAAAACTCAATAACCGAAAATGATCTCTGTGCCATTTTCCCGGACATCAGTAAAGGAAAGACAAATGATGCCTATATTCTCCTTTGCGGCCAGCCTGGGGAAAGAGGAACCTGGATAGAGGCGATGGCTGCTAAGAAGAGGGCAGCAGGCTGATCTGTCGCAGATTTAAGTCACCGTCAAGGCCACCATATTCCCTGACACAAGATAGAATATCTCATGTACCAATTTACTGTGAGGGTCCCACATACGCTTAACACCCGGAGGCTTACCTGGAACCTCCAGAGCCCCCCGATGTCATCTGTCCTTTCAAAGCAGACGGGCTCCAAGCCTTCGTCTAGACAGCACTTGATCGACGTGAGCCCGCTCACACCTGCCCCAATCACGGCAATTCTTTTGTGGGTCATGGTCTCCGGAGCACTTCGCAGGGCTGGGTCCCCCCGCCAATCTGTCCTGAAGAATGGATGACAAAAGACAGAAAGCACACGGCAGTTAACACCTTTCAAGAAAAGACCCTGGCCCAAGGCATCCACACAAAACTGGCAGCAACAGGTGTCTCCGGGGGAAGCCAGAGTGTGCGGTCTAGTCGCCTTCGCCGCTGGGAAAGGCTACTCGCGGGGCCCGGGAGCCCCGCGCCTCCAAGCGGAGGCCCGACGCGGAGAGCTCAGCTGTCACACGCGGTCTCACTACCTTTCCTCCTGCACTGGGCAGATGCGTCAGCTGCAATCCGGAGGCTCCACTGCACTTTCGACTGTTTTCACCGAAATATAAAGCAACTAAGTACAAACAACAGCAACAGCCAACTGGGAGGGGCTGCGCCGCACCGCCCCTTTCAGCCCGCCCCCCGCGCCGTCAGCCGCCCCCGCTCCCTCTCTCGGGTCGGGGTGGGGGAGGGCGGAGGGATGCGGGGAATGAAAGGCGTGCGGAGCCTGCTTCGGACAGATGAAATAATTAGTCCTGCAACTTCTCGATTTTTCAGTGCAGTTGCCCGCCCTCCAGACCGCTCTCTGGGGAGAGAGGCCTTCTGTCTCCATCGCTCCCCGCCCCTCCGCACCCGCTGCGAACTTCCTGGTTTTCCCCTTAAAGTGACAAACTCCTCCTGCTGCAGGGGAACCGTCACCCACCCCACAGCAAGTCTTGCTCCAACAGCTTGTAAGTGGAGAACCCCAATCTTTCAGATCTGTTACAAACAGGTCGCGCGCCCTAACCGGTTTGGCTCAGTGGATACAGCGTTGGCCTTCGGACTGAAGGGTCCCGGGTTCAAT